GGGACTGTCCCGCGACAGTCGCACGACCCTGGAGAGGCAGGACTTTAGGATAATCTAATCTAATCAAATGCAACCCAGTCTGATGTGGCGGTGGCCTTATGCTTTCCGACTCGATCAGGACCTGGGTGCTTTCTGTACCTTCTGGAGGCTCATTGATGCGTTCTGGAGGCTCATCGGTACTTTCTGGAAGCTTGTTGGTGTATTCTGGAGACTCGTCGGTATATTCTGGCGGCTCGTCGGTAACTACTATAACATTTTATACGCCCTATGATCACCTAAAACTAGTCTGTGCATGTCTTGTGGACTCTGTCGTCAATTGCTCGGGCAAACCTCAGCTTTCGGAAAGCTCATACTAAGGAGAAACCTCTGAGGACGAGTCCGAAACATTCACATAGGTCATCTTCCTGCTTTTCCGACTGGTCAGGAGCATATGGCAAGCATCTAGCGAAGGCGAGAAGAGAACTTCCTTATTGTTACCCTTCGGTAACAGCTCGGTGAAGTTGCTTGTATGATAGGTCTGAATATTGTATATAAGATACGAGAAACTGGGTAGCAGTTTTCTCTATCGAGTCCGCTTTGAGCCTCTAGTTCATCCCTTCAGCCACCTCAGCTTATTCCACTTATGCCTCCAAAGAATCAGCGTGGTTGGTGGAGAGAGGAGTTCTATGATCACCCAGGTCTTGCCGCCAAGCTTCCTGACTCATACACCACTGCGAAATCAGACAAGTTCAAGTTGTTCTGCAAGAAATGTCTCGATTGGACCGTGGCGGAGACGATCGTTAACGATCAGAAGGATGTCTCTGAAGGTACTAGGGATGTTGCGCGTACCAAAGATACCATCACTGGCCAGCGTACGTTCTTTTCACTTATCTTTCTTGATCAACCTTTGACCTATGCTATCTGTGTCTAGTTTGGGCGGTATCAGCGGATGATTCCCCGCTTTGGGTCTCATCTAGATCCGATGTTCTCATCAATCACCTTCTTGCGTGCGCGAGAGTCTCCCAGGCTGTGAAGGACAAGGCTCGAGCCGAATACAATATTCGCCACCGAGCCGCTCAAGGATCGCAGTCTCCTGCCCTTTCTGACCATTCAACGGACACTGGTTTGTTTACGCTCATATACCTTATTGACATATCGTGTTGATACTTGTACTAATCGGACTCGGCTGGTTCATACATTAGGATCTCCTCATGTCCGCCCAACCTCGCTCAGCACTGTGTCCTTACAACCCGAAGACAATGTAATCTCACTCAATAGTCCCATCTCACGCCCACCGAGCTCTTTCGCGTCCTCGAGCCCCCAGCCCACCCAAGTCCAACTCTTTCCACAGGACTCTCCTCGAGTTCAGGGCCGTCGCAGCCTCACGCCACCCACATACGTTACACGCACGCTCTCGCGTCAACCCCATCAGATTATCCGGGCGTCAACTTGGACGGATGGGAATCAAGTTCAGTTTGAAGCGATGCTCGCCCGTCTCACGGCAAGTGCTGGGTTCTCACTGCGCTGGGTCGACGACCCGGAGTGGATTCGGTTCTGCTCACTCTTCCTCCCTGAGGCACGTCTCGTCACACGCAAGGTCCTCACGCAACGTCTGATCCCCTCAGAGCTTGCGTTGTTCAAGGAAAAAGCTAGGGATGAGGTGGCTGGAGGGCTGGGTACTGTGCAGGAGGATGGGTGGACAGGGTTGAATAAGCTCAATCTCCTGGCCTTCATGGTAAACGCTAAACGCACGGTGTGCAATTTCTCTCTCTCAGTTTTGTTTTGATCTCTTGAATATACATTTTTACTAACCAGCATCTTTCAATGCCTTACCAGGTTCATTCCGTCCGCGTTATCGATGCCTCAGCAGAGCGCAAGACCGCCGAAGTTCTTCTTGCGCATATGCTCGAAGTAATGGACACGTTGAAGGTCGACTGGAAGATCACTGTTGTCGCCTTCACAACAGATGCATCCGGAGAGAGCAAGAAAGCTCGAAAGCTGCTCAAAGCTCGTCATCCCGAGCTCGTTGTTCCGAACTGTTTTGCACATCAGGTGTGTCATCTCTCATCACATTCTCGTGCTTGTTTGATCTTCATTCCCCATTGACTCATGTTGGGTATAATCTTTCAGATCAATCTCGTCGTCGGCGACTACTTTCGGAGCCGTGGTACCAGCTCGAACTTCCTCCTTTATGCTGATAGCGCCACAGACCTCATCACTTGGCTTCGAAGCCACACGTTCATCCTCGCGCTCCTACGTGAGGTCCAGCACTCCACCACCGGTCACATTCTCACTGTCCTCCGTGCCGTTCTCACACGCTGGACTTCCCACTACCTAGCTTATCGCCGTTTGCTCGAGCTTTATCCTTCGCTCCTATTGCTCGTCCGTGAGGATGAAGGCCGTGGCGAGCGTAACAGTCGCATGATCATGGGGGATGCAGATGCGAAGAGAAAATCAAAGCAGATGATTGCGTTGATTAAGGACGGTCTTTTCTGGCACTCGCTGACGCGGTTCGTGGATTCCAGCCATTCTTACGAAGGCCTGGACTTGCTGTGATGCCTCTTTTGTATATATGATGCTCATGCATTGCCAATTGTACAGGATTAAGGTTCAACTCGAACCTCTTGCAATAGCCGCAAATATCACTCAGGAGGCGAGCTGCCGTCTCGATGAAGTCTTGCTCACGTTCGGCACTCTATACCACTGGTTCCACCAACTTCACGAGGATGCAGATCAGAGTGTTCGTATCGCTGTGGAGGCGAGCTTGTCAAAACGCTGGCGTGATAGTGAACAGGAAGTTTATCGAGCAGCGCTAACACTTAATCCAGACTTTCAGATTGCGCCTTTCCAGCGTCGTCCTTGGTGCTCTGATGCGGGACTACTGGTCCTCTTCACTGGCCTTTGGAAGCGCTTTTGGCCAACTGAAGAGCCTCCTCGCTCTCTGTACGGTGATATCAAGGATTATACTCACCATCGTGGTCGTTACCGAGCACTTCCCGTTATAGTACAGGCCATCAAGCAGGCTGCGGAAGACGACGTACGCACTCCCTTCCAGCCTTTTTGTTTATACTAATATCTTATGTGCATTTCAGCATGCGAAATTCGATCCATTGGACGTATGGGATGGTCTCCGTCACGCACAGGATCCTCCCACTCCTCTCGAGCGCCTTGCTCACCATCTATTTGCTATCATCGCAAACTCCGCATCCTGCGAGCGACTCTTCAGCACGTACGGTAACATCCTCACCAATCGCCGTACTCGTATGGCAACCCAAACACTTGCCTCACTCGCCGAGCTGAAGATGCACCTACGTGATCTTCACTTTCAGGAGAAGGCCACGAAAACTCGGTTGCAGCGTCAGTTTGGAGCTGTGGGGCGAGAGGCTGGTGGAGTAACGGGTGGCGAGACGATTGAGCTCTCGGAGGAAGCCGCACTGTCAGAAGGAGAGGCGGGATCAGTGAGTGACGAGATGCCGGGACGCAGTTTTCGCACTGAAGCAGAACGTCTGATGAGACTCGTTGACGATGAGGCTGATTTGGCAGAGGGGCTCGAAGGCTTAGATGATGATACTGTGGCGTCACATTCCGGGCAGACGTCCACTGGCCGCGAGGTAATGAGTCTTGAGGAGTTGTTTGACTTCGACAATAACTTTTGGATTGTAAACCATACTAAATCGTCTACTTCGGGATTGGAGGAGGAGCTAGAGCTGTACCAATTGCTTGATCTTGATGAGCATGGGGATGAGGATGGTGATCTTTCAGTGCCTGATGATGTCTGCATGTAATTTTTTTCTCAACCTATGAACCTATGTGTACTCTGAATCTTTATGACCGTAACTCGATTCTTCCACACAGTCCAAGTCCCGTGTACTTACTATCAAAGGGCGTAGAATTGGATCGCCACCTTCATCTTACATAAACAACCAGCCAAATATGGTATGGGACCTCAAGAGCTCACGGTCTCGGTCGGCAAGGTCGCGTGGCAGACCTCATTCGACTGTCCACGCGACTTCGCGCGACAGCCCGAGAACGGGTGAAGGAGCGTCATACTGTGACCTGTACCCGGCGCGTCCGGCGAGTCCGGCGACGCCTGGAGGCATCCGGCACTGCCTGGAGGCAGACGAGTTATGCCTTCAGGCAAATTCGAACACAGACGAGTTGTGCCTCCAGGCAGGATCCAACACATACGAGTTGTGCCTCCAGGCATGTTCGTACGACACGCTAATTGCCTGGAGACACAACTCGCATGTGCTCGGAATCACCTGGAGGCACAACTTGTGTGCTTGAATATGCCTGGAGGCGCAACTCGTATGTGTTCGGATTCTCTCCAGGCAAAAACATTCCAGGTTGGTTCCCGCGGGGTAGGGGTGAATAGGGGGTGAGCAGGTAGGTGGTCTGCAGGCTGTAAATGGGACAAAAATAGGGCTATGGGGTCTGTGAGCAGGGTGGACTGAACGGTGAACCAGGAGAGAATGATAGG